AGAGAGAGAGAGAGAAATAGAGGAGATTTTTATGGAAGAGCAGATAAGGATGCCGTATTTGATTGACATGATTAAAAGACAAGCAATATAAAAATTTCTGGTTGGAATCTTTCGTTCGTAAGCTTCTCACCTCAGGAAAGCCATCTAGGTATTGCAAACCAGGACAAGTTTCCACTAAGCCCTCAATGAACTCAGTTACCACATCTGCAACAAAAAATAAGAAATCTGTTAATCCAAAATTTGTCTCTTTATGGCAGCGACCTTCTAACCACTGGAGAAAAGGAAAAAATTAAATTAGAAAATAGATACTTGTAGTAACTTAGTTTTCACTTCTAGTCATTGACTGCTAAAGAGTAGAAATACTCATAGCATGATTTCAGAAACTGAACTGATAAAGATGTTCCCATTTAAACATTCATCCCATAGTTAGAAACAGCCACAATATTGTAATCCCACAAAACAGAAAGAAAAAACATCAGAATTCATATCCTTAGTTATTGTTCGGCATAAAAATATCATTCACGAACCATGAGTCACTAAATGCAGACCATCAAGAGGCATGTTTCTCCTCCTCAAGAAAAACAACTAGTATTGTTTTTAGAAGTCATCAAGATCAAACCATCCTTACTAGAGCAGATCACAAACCATAAGAATCACAAAAGATAAAACGAAATGACATGAAAAAAGCTTTTCAGGAGGGAACAGAAAGAGAAGAAGAAAAGTCTGAAAACTCTCTCAGGCAAATGTTTCAACTACAACCATTTAAACCTATTGGGTCAAGGCCAAATGCTGCATAATCTAAGCACACTTGTAAATGTTCAATTGAAAAATGAACTAAGAAGCCTGAAATAAAACATATATTTATCATAAGCAATAACTCAATGAAACTCTATAACAAAAAACAAGGATGTCATTACACTTAAACATCCCATATCCTTGTCACAAAATAATCCAAAGAAAAACATCTGGATTAAGCTTTACGATCATATTACATGCATGAAATATTATAAATACAATTGGCTCTTGTTCGGTCTCAATGGCAGAATTTCATAATTCCAGCTAAGAAAATATATAAAATAAAAAAATAATGAGAAAGCTAACACAAATTTAGCTGAAGGGAAGAGATCATGACTTAAAAATTAAAGTTCACATACACAATAAGTACCTGAAAACTAATATGAAAAATAAAATTTATGTAAGTCAAATAGTTCAGAGACTACGAGGTCTAAGATCCAGTTAGACGTTGCAGATTTTCATCCATTACTACTCCAGAAGAAATCAAATAACAGAAGTAAAGTACAGAATGCAGGTTATAAATAACCGAAATCAAAATCCAGTAAAATGCGGAATTTCATAATGTCAAGCCACAAATTCTAACAAAAGAGAAGCAAGAAAACTAAAATTCATAGAGAGTCAAAAGCAATGAAATCTGCCTCAGCATGATGATCAAAACAAATTCCCAGGACGAGAGATAAAATCAGAGAAAAACTCCTGTATAAGCATGAATTTGAAGAGAAATTACAGAGAAGAAAGAAATAAGAGAGGCGCTGACCATTTGGATTGTTAATTAGCTTCTTCCCATGAGGAGACATAGTTGAATGCGCACTCAAACTGATGAGAATATCACTGAGAAAAAAGATACAGAATGTAAACCTAGGGAAAATACACCCTAGGCAGCCATGAGAGAGGAGAGAGAAGGGGACGAGGAAGAGAGAGAGAGAGACAGTCACTCAATCTTCACGATTACGGTGAGACTCGACTCTGTGTCACGGGGTTTTATATAGGAAACGGGAAATATTCTATACACGTACGTGTACGATAATCTACGGCCATGTACTTTCTATCAACCGCTACACTTATCGACGAACGGATCAGATTAGCCACTTGCCTGCCGAAAGAGCTGAGAGCGAATGTAGGCTCATCTTTACCATTGGTTGATTGGACGGACGGCTAATGCAGGTCTTGTCTATCCTAAAACTACATGCACAAGATGTGTATAATGATGTCTTTCAGACAGCTTTCGCTTTAACGAGGAAAGAAAAGTTCAACCAAACGCGCCCGTCCATAGATAATGACGAACGAGCGCATATAGCATGGTCATAATGTACAACAACTCTCTTGGGCGATCGAGGCTTACTCATAGTTTATATGTATATATAAAATGATGATACCATGAGACCTTCCATGTTTATGCGAGTAATACCTCAAAGAATCACCATTAAATTTTGATACAAATCTTTAAAAAACCCATTCACTCATATCCCACACGCATGTCATAGGTTTTCTAGAAATCTGTGTCAAAATTTAATGATGATCTTTTGGATCCTATTCACATGGGTGTGGGAAGGCCCCATAGTATTATTTCTCATATATATATATGGGAAAAGTTTATATAAGGTTGCAATCTTAAAATGTAAAATCAAAGATGCACCTCAAAAGTCTATTGGAAATGTTGTTTTAATGTTGAAAAAACTCTCTAATCAATCATCTCGATGTCTCGACATCGAGATTGATGAATATAAAAAAAAAAAGTTTTTGAGTCCCAGAAATAGTGCATCTTGCAACACATTATCTAGGCTGTCCATTTTCAAGATTTTCATATATTTATAGATTTACTTGATTTTAACCATTTTTGGAATTTAAAATTTTTTAATTAGTTATGAAAATAGATTTTAAAATAATACTAAAGATTTTTTACAACAAAATTGCATATTATGATAAATTTTTAAGGTGCACC